CAGGTATTGGTGAACAAACCAGACACAGACTTTGTCCTTATGGACCTTAGCAGAAGAAAAACTGACAATAGGCAGAATTACATAAAGAAACATAAAATGACCACTGGGATCAGTGCTGTGAGGAGATACCCAGTACAATGAGAGCTTATAGCAAGGGATCATGTTCTATTCTGGAGATGGGCATCATGGAAGACTTCTGCAAAGTGATGCTGGAGCTGAGGCTTTCAGGAGGATACTGGAGTATTTGAGGGAAGAGCTTGGGGAAAAATATTCCAGGAAAAGGGAACAGCAACTTCAAGAATCTTGAGGCAGAAAAGAAATGATGTATTTTTGCTACTAGATTTGATTGTCAGGAAATCCATGCTTGCTGTGTGTATTTGGAGAAATTCCACAGGTGCAAAATAAAACATGTACTGTGCTAAAGAATCTTTATCTGAGACAATTGCTGGACTTTAAATGGTAGTTAGATATGAAACCATCAGGCACTGTGACTTATTTAACAAAGGTTTCTCAAAGAAAGCCTGGCTAGGTCTGGGGTAAGGAGGAATAGAAGTACAGGGAGTGGAGCCCAGGGAGGTGGGCAGGAGCAGGATCGGGCTCAGCTTTGGAGGAGTTGGGAGATGTTTCCCAAGAGCAATCAATAGGAAGCCACTAGAAGGTTATTAAGAAGGGAAGTAACAACGACAGGTTTTCTGTTTGCAAAGTGGAAGAGATGCTGTAGGAAGAATCGATTGGTGGGGAGCACAATAGAAGCAGGGAGAACAGGTAGGAAGCCACAGCAGTGGTCCAGCAGAAATGACAGTGGTGTGGCCGAGGATGGTGACCATGAGGAAGAGGGCATAGCATATTATGTTCCATTCAGCTGGTGGGTGCTCTAACCCCTCCTCCTCTCTGCCTGGGACCCAACCCCTGGGCTTATTCTCCCCCTCCCCATCCCAAGAGGGCAATGAGGGTTACTCAAGCTCCTGGGTTATGTGCCTCCTGGGTCCTCAGTGGCCCCTGCTTCCCGCTGTTGTGCTTGGCTCCCAAGGAGGTCTTTTTCTCCAGTGAGTGGGTCTGAAGAATGACAGAGCCGTCACTAATCTGCTCCTGCTCCTGCTTACTGAGGAGGGCACTTGGCGGGCGGGGGCGGGGTGGGGGGTGGTTGGTCTAGTCTGCTTGTCCTACTTGTGTTCACTGCAGGCCCCAGCCGGAGGAGAGCTAGAGGATTACTGCTCCTGGGGTTCCCTGCCCCCTCCTTGCCCCAAAACAAATGAAGGGAAAGATGGAACTTTCTCCTTTCAGAAGGAGATACATTTTTCTGTCTTTGTGATTGTGGTGGGGGGGATATATTTCAAAACTGCCTTTTCTGAAGATAACAGGAATATAATTTTATCAGGGAACATTGAAAAGTGCAAGAATATATAAAGAAGGCTAACCAGTATTCAGTATTCATAATACTACCCTGCATTTTTGCACACTTTCCCAGTCATATATGCTTATGTTTAAATAGGTCGTACATACCAAATATACTTTTATGTGTCTTGCTGTTTTCACTTTGTGGTTCAAGCATTTTCCTGTGTCATTAAAATCCCTGTACACACAATTGAAATTTGCAAACAGTCTTTTTTGATAGCAAATTTTGTATAGTCTTTTGCTATTTTGTTAGACATTTGGGTTGTGTCTAACTTTTACCATTATAGGGAGATCTGTGATAAACGTCTTTGTTTATGACTCTTTGCCTGCATTTTGGGTGACCTCTCCTCCTGTAAATTTCTAGAATGGGGTTTAATGAGAGGAGTTGTATAGAAATGACAAGAAAGGAAATGTCTATGTAGGGTAATTCCCACCAAAAGGTAGCTCTGGTTCTGTTTGTGGAAACATAAAAGAAGCTGTTTCACCCAACTCTGTAAGGACACTGCTCTTACAGAGCACATCACTTCATCATTTGCAGAGCAGTGGCTCTTAGGTGTCTCTGTTAGGAATTACCTCTTTTCTCTAGAGACCTATGGGACTGTGAGCTTGAGAGGCAGCTGGGACTGGGTTATCACTGGTTTCGCTCAGTCCTGTGGTGCAGCAGGGAGCCCTCCAGGCCTATGCCGCCATAGAACCTGCTAAGCAACCTTGAGCACTGCGTTTCCTCCAAATGCAAAACAAGCCAGAGGAGTGTTTGGGGTATGACCAGGTTTTGTTATTGTAGGCACTTAAGTAGCAGAACCCTTATTTCAAATGTAATTGTACAAGAGCCCCAATCTGTAAAACAGATTAAGGGGCAGTTATTTTGGTAGAGGTGTGTACGGAAGAGGTGGGGGTGGCTAGTGCTCTAGTTTGAAAACTCTGGCCTAGATGATAGAAGTTTCACTCCAGTTCTGTTCAGTTCTGGTCCCTATTGCTGAAATTTAAAAAATATATATATATCTCATCTATATCCTCCAAATGTGCTGAATGATGAAATCCTTTCTCTTAGAGGCAATTTGGAAATCACACAAGTGGAGCACAAAGCCGTGGATGTTTAGAGGGGGAGTGAGAAGTATGGGAGACCCACAGAAAGGGTGACCCTGGCACTTCTAAGAAGGAAACCGCACAATGGACTCTTCCAAAGAAGCAGTGTCAGTTTATTCCCGATTGGCACCGCCTTCTCAGCGGGACGGAATTACTTGTTTTCACCCTCTCTTTCCTGGACTCGTTTCAGACCAAACTCGTGTGCACACTTGCTAGCAATTTGAACCCAGAGTAACTGATGAACAGGTATTTTGCTCAGGCCCAAACATTATGAAAGATATGAATGGGGGTGTGGGTATGACAAAAGTTTCCTTCCGCTGCTGAGGCACTGGAGCACGAAGAGGGAGGCGAGTCTCACCTGCCTGGCAGCCTTTTTAGTTAGCTCCAAGCACGGCAGCGCGAACCGGTCAGCAGAGGCCCGAGGTTTGTGGCCCCGGGATGGGAAAGGAGGCAGTGGTTTGGAGGCCTCGCTTTTGCTAAGCAGGGACACAGCAGGCCCGGGAGGAGCACCGGGTGATGGGCCAGGGTCTGTAATTCACCGCAGGGAGCCATCCCAGCCCTTTCTGCACAGTGTGGGGTGGGGTGCGACGGGTTGGGGGAAGGAGCCCGCGTCTGCAGGGGAGGGATGGCGCTACAGTTCCTGAGAGACTCGACCTCTCTTGTAGAGGCATGGTGAGCTTAGGCTTCAAGATCCGCAGTGATGTGTATAAAGCGGGCACGACCCCCGAAATCGTTGAAAGTCCCTGCCCCTCCCCACGAAGGCCGCCCGGGCCCTCAGGTTAAAGGGTGGCCGGCACAAAGCCGATTGAAAATGCGAAATTCAAACCAATTTACGGGAGATTCTGTCGTCCAGAGTCCTAGCAGAACTCAAGCAAAGAAAATTGCGGTCAGGAGTGGATGACGATAAAAAACAGTGCACCAGGCCGAACTTATTGGAAAGTCCGAGTTTAGTCATATACTGGGATGGCGAGGTAACAGGATTAAAGGGATTAAGGAAATCACCTCAAACAGCTGAGCAGGCGGTAAAAAAACACTGTTCTGTTTTCTTCCTAGGCTCCATACAGATACCTTGGAACCGGGTGGCAGGGAGCGAAACGAAAGGCCTTTCGGGGGACACAGAGGCATGGCCAAGGGTCAGGGATTGGGGAAAGTCGGTGGGGAAGGAGCAGAATGCAGGCTTGAGGTTCGGGATGGAGGGAGCCTCTTCTAGAAAACAAGTAGGTGGACTAGGTTGACAGATCAAAAAGAAAAAGCCATCAGAGAAGTTTTACAGATGTTTTGGCATCTAGGGTGTATTTTGAGAAACCAGAGTTATTGTTGAACGCTGGTTCTCCGGCTTCTGCCACCACGGTTGAAATATATTTATTTCCTGCTAGAGATTCGTGTAACCCACTTATTTGTAATAAGATAATTGAGATTTCCGAAGGGTTTTCGTTTTGTAAATATTTCAACTCAGCTCAAGTGTCTTCCCGCCCCAGTGCACAAAGGTAAAAAGTGCGTCTTTTTTTTTTTTTTGGCCCGTTTCATCGGTCTCCCAGCACTATCAACAAGTGCGTGGGCGCGGGAGGTTCGCTTCAGCTAGACTGTGCTGCTCCCAGGAAGCCAAACTACTTTCTCCTCGGACTTTCAGGTGAAAAGTATTGGGAGTCGCTGTGTTTCTGATTATGAATAGTTAAAAAAAGAAACCATTTCCGATCCTCCAGCCCCGAGGACAGCATCACGGTTGTAATGCCCGGTGGTGGTCCCCTCCCCAACCCGCACCTAAACTTTCAGGCCCGGAAAATTATCAGGACTCCATTATGTTGGTTATAAAATTTATTGATCTCTCATTTAAGAATTAAGAGTAAACCCTTGAAAAACACCAAACAAAATAGCCCCTTCCCCACAACCCAAACGAAATCCAACAACATTAGCGCGACGAAATATCAAATATTGACCACAGCAGAATCACAACGCAACAAAGTAAATGCGTACTGAACGAACTGTCCCGCGGCCAGGCGCGGCGAGGACGGAGACACACGCACACCTGGCTATAAATTAACATTGGACTTAACTGCCGCGCCGCTCCACGCGGTCGGCTCCCCCAAACCCACGAGGAAAACAGACGCAACGCGATCGGGGGAGGGGGCGTTGCAGGTTTCAGGCCAGCCTTACCCGAGTACGTTTCTCCCAATTCACTCACTCCACGGCTAACAGTAAACTAACGAGACAACATTTTCAAATGCAACCGGAAAACCCAGGAACCCCGGAGGAGGGGGGGGGGCTGCTTTTTCTTGGCAAACATCACAGCGGTTTCCAGCCTACAGGGGAGGGAGGGGCGTCGAGCTCTAGAAAGTCCTATATCCGATGATCCGGACTTTTTTGTTTTTGTACAAAACCCGACAGCTACAGCAAACTTTGTCCTCCCCTTCTCGATACAAGGCAACAGACCCAGGCAAGCAAAGCTAAACAACAAGGCGTCCCCACTGGGGGGTGCAGGGTGGGGTGGGGGCGCAGGGGTGGCGAGCGCAGGCTGGCGCTCAGATGTGGGTCAGCGGCACGGTTCCGTTGACGGCAGTCCCCGCGCCCTGGTAGTGCTGGTGTACGGTGTGCAGGCGGCCTCCAGGCAGCGGCGAGGCGGCGTCAGCAGCGTCCCCGCCGGGTGGCAGGTACATGCTGATCATGTCTCGCAGGTCGCCGAGGCAAGCGCGCTGCGAGTGCGATGTGATGGCGGGTGGCGGCGAGCTGGGCTCTGTCTTCACCACCGTACCCATCGGGCCCAGACTCATGGCGGCGGCGGCAGCGGCAGCGGCAGCAGCGGTGGCGGGCTGCTGCCCGTAGGCGGCGGCGGCGGCTGCGGCGGCAGCTGAGGGCGCCATGCCCCCGTAGCCCGAGGCGGCGGCGGCTGCAGCAGCGGCGTTCATGTAGCTCTGGGCGCCGGGTGGCATCATGGGGCTGTACTGCAGGCCTGCCATGTCGTAGCGGTGCATCTGAGGCAACGCGGGCGGTGGCGGGCTGCTCATAGTGGCGGGCTGCGCGTAGCCCAGCTGCTCCTGCACCAGCGAATACGCGCCGTTGGCCCAGCCGTTCACGTGTGTGTACGTGTCCAGGCGCTGGCCCACGCCCACCGGGCTGCTGGCGGCGGCGGCGGCTGCGGCGGCGGCTGCGGCGGCGCCGGGGGGCAGCAGGCCGCCGGGCAAGGAGTACTTGTCCTTCTTGAGCAGCGTCTTGGTCTTGCGGCGGGGCCGGTACTTGTAGTCCGGGTACTCTTTCATGTGCACGGCGCGCAGTCGCTTGGCCTCGTCGATGAAGGGCCGCTTCTCGGCGTCGGTCAGCAATTTCCAGTCGGCGCCCAAACGCTTGCTGATCTCCGAGTTGTGCATCTTCGGATTCTCCAGGGCCATCTTGCGCCGCTGCCCGCGGGACCACACCATGAAGGCGTTCATGGGACGTTTCACGCGGTCCTGATCACTGCCCCCGCCACCGCCACTCGCGCCACCGCTGTTGCCGCCGCCGCCTGCGTTCGCGCCGCCGGCTGCGTTCGCGCTACTCTTGCCTGCACCGCCGGGGGCTGCTGGGCCGCCCGCTCCTGAGCCTGGAGTAGATGGCCCCACTGGGTTCTTGAGTTCAGTCTCCAGAAGGCTGTACATGGCCGGAGAGGGAAGAAGGTGCGCCAGAGTGGCGGGAGGAGAAGACGCTCCTGGGGCTGGAGCGGCCACGGTGAAAAGGCCTGGGGACTCCGTCGGAGGGGCGCTTGGGGGCCGGTGGGCCAGCGGGTCGGGCGGAAAGGACAGGCTTGCAGAAGCGCTCCGCGCCAGGTCTGCAGGAACCCGGAGGCCACTCGCACCTGATGCGCTGTCTCGAACCGGTCGCATTCGCAGTCTCGCCGGGCGCTCGCCAGGCCCCTTATATACCTGCTCGGATTCCCCCAGGGTTGGGCAGGGTCCGCCCCTTGCCTCCCAGAGCCCCCATGATTGACAGCTTTCCAGTGTTGCGCTCTGGCCAATCATCACGGAGCCCCCGTTAGTCGCCACTGGAAAAAAAAAAGTTCGGGGAGCCCTTTCGTTCACCCCTACGCCCCTCTTGGGCCCGGTGACGTGCTGAGAGTTATTCGGGGGCGGGAGTCCCGGAGAGCCACTCAGATATCACCAATTAGGGTCTCAAAAAGTTTGAAAGAACGAAACTCTGGGAAGTGATAGAGGGGGGAGGGGACGCATTGCGCAGGATTGGGGGGAAGGGGCAGAGGGGCGCCCACGGGGTTTTAGAAAACAACTTTACAGTCCTCTCAGGGCTGACCGATGCCCGATCCCAAGGCCACCATGCAAAGCTTTCTGCTGTCTGCGCGAGGTCCTCCAACTGCTTCTGCTGCTAGCGCTCAGACATCGGGCAACGCCAGCATCCGGGCGGGCTTGGGGACTCATAGCGCAACCGAGGTGCCTCGGGATGCTGCTCCGAGACGCTCTTCTTGGAATCAGCCCCTCTCCAAGTGGAATGAGCGGGGTCAGGGACTGTTGCGCAGGAGACAGGCTTCAGGACAGCGTAGCGCTCAGGAGGCTGTGAGGCTCGGAGATGGTTGGTGTGAGTTGGAGCAGTCAGCTTTCCTCTGCCTGCGCCGGGCGAGGGACTCACAGGCGATGCTGCCGGGAGTGTGTGGGTGGGGGCGGAGGGGATGTACCAGCCTCGGCTCTCTAGCTCCAGGCCCCCGCTTAGCGGCCCCTTTTTGTCTCTGCTCTCTGGCCATTTCGGTTTTTCCAGTCCGATGCCCCTGAGGGGGAGGGTCGGGCCCCTTGGAAAATCCGTTTTCATGGCAACACGGAGCCTCTCCAAGCGAAAGAAAAGTTTCTTGGAGGGGGGGACGGTGGCCGGAGAGGAGCCGGGGCGGTTCTCGGGGCGGACCATGGGGCCCCCTCCGCTGGCTGCGCACCTGCCAGGACCACTGAGTGCTTGCTGTCGCTGTGTAGCCGTGCCGCCTCCTCGGCGAGCAACCTCTGCTAACGGATTCCGTCCTTCTTTTTTGATTTACAGCCTTCCTAATCGAAACTTTGAGACTCGGAACTGGACAGTAACCCATATGTCAGGTTGTCTGCCAAAGGGTATTGGCATGGAAACCCTGGCTGCGGGGAGAGGAAACTCCAACAATCACCTCCGCGAACCCAAGCGAGTGGCACAGCGTTTGAAACTCCCGGAGTAGCCCGAGGCGACGGGCGGAAAGGAGAAACCAGCTGGGCAGAAGTGGCAGAAACTGAAATAAGGTGTCCCGAGCGGTGTGGGCGCTCTCCCCCCGCCCCTGCCCCAGCCTCGTGGAAAGGTGGAGAACCAAAAGAAAGATGTAAATCCAAAGTGTGAAACAAAAACAAACACCCAGTCTTTTAGTTCCTTAGCGCTAATGCAAGACCTGGCGATTCTCCACCGCCTGCCTGCACGCCCAGAGCTTCCTTCTTTCCTGCACGAATTGCAGGCCAATCCCCTCTGGGGCTGGCAGACTGCTGGCACCAGAATCCCGCCGGCCACCCGTCATTATCTCTTGGAAGTTTGGGTCACGAAACTCGCCCTTAAGTTTTGGTTCCGCCATGTCTACGTCCTCAGTCCTCATGTTCATGAGGACTGAAGGAAGCAAACGTCCACAGCCAAGGGCTGCAGTCATTTGAATGGGTGTACGGATTTCGGGTTTTAAAGTAAACTATCTGGAATGGTTCTGTATGGGGGTTTTGTGTGTGTGTGCGCGCGCGCGCGCACGGGCTTGTGTGCAGGCGCGCAAAGCACGAGCACGGATGTGCACACTTAAGCTGACACTGAGTGAAAGGCTCATTTCAGAATGATTCTGCGATCCCCACCTGCACCTGTTTTCTTGGCAAACTGGCTAAGAGTCAAAATTTCCTAAGCATACCTACCTTCTCCCAAAGAAGTCACTGTGCAGTATCCCTGCCCTCCTGCCGCTTTTTCCAGAGGGCCTCTTGGGTTCTCTGGGCCTCTGAGGCTGTTGCTAAGTGAAGCGCGTTTTAGGAAACTACCCAACCGGCGCGCGGCCTGGCGTCCAGTAGCCTGACAGATGTCAGGATTCTTTCCAAGTTTTAGGACCCCGTTGTGGTGACAGCGCCTGGGCTGCATATTTCTCGAGGTAAGGGATGCGGTATTGGGCCTGCACTCCTCCTCGCAGCAGATTATTTGGGGACTCGTCACTGCCCTCAGCCATTTGTCATTTGACCATTTCTAACCCAAGACTTAGTGCTTTAGGTGAGCTCATACGCATATTACATCCTTCTGCCAGATTCACGGCAATCCTTTGCGGGTATCTGACACCCACTCCTACACTCTTGGATTCCCTCGGAGGCCATGATTAAATTCTCTGTGCCTGGTGGCCCCGGGGTGGTCTGCCCAGCAAAAAGTAAGTCTCGCCGATTTCCTTCGAAACGTTTCCGAGGACATGCTCAACCCAAACTAGCATTTCGATAGATAAGTTTCCATTATGGGCGTGGGGAGATGGAGGAAGGCTGGAAAAAAACTGTTCTCTTGGCCCACCAGCAGTGCAGGCGTAGCCACCAGCCGAGGGGCGCGACACTTCGCTGGGGGTTGGGAGAAGCATCATGGCAGGTACTATCGCCCGAGGGGCCTCGGTTCATTCAGGGGCTACGGGGAGGCAAGACGGCTGGCAGAGCCCCAATCGGTGTCTCCGACACGCAGTCTGCACCCAGTGAGGAAAGCAGAGGGACACAGTCGGATACATGGCCAGTCTTTCCCAACCTCTCCAAAAGAGAGCATGTTTGGCAGTTCTCTTGCCCTCCAGGACCTCCGGGAACCCGTGGGCGGTATACAGAGTCCCGGGCGGCGGACTGGGAACTCCGCCAAACAACCCTTCCCATTCCCCCACCCTCCCAGGAGAGCTCCGGCTCCCTCCGACTGGGGCTGGACCTGGGTCTTCCACGACCCAGGGCGCGGCAACAGCGCCGTTTATTGGCTTCGGTTGGAAACTTCACCCAGAGGCTCCCCTTCCTGACCTCCAATGCTTGTAGATGGCCTGAACCCTTCGAGGAGAGGCAGCCGACTTCGCCCTAGGACAGAAGTGATCATTGGAGAGGGTTATCGCAAAACTTGAGGGAACTAGGCTCTAGCGTGGTTGGCCCAACGGGTTCAGGGTACATAAGGCATCCCCATTCTGCCTTCCTCCGGTTTCAAGCCTCGGCAGATTTCAGGTTTCCCAAGGGCTTCATATCAGCAAAGTACTTTTAGCAATTGTGTCTTAGAGCTACCAGTAAAGAGAGCAGAGCGGGAGAGTGGTTGTCCCACCGCTGGCGAGGGGGGTGCCTACGTCGATTCCTTCTCACGAACTGCTCATGGGGGACGTTTTCGGTGTCTCCCGCTCGATTAGGACCCAGCCTCTTAACAGGAGGTGCCGCTTGCGTGCTGGCTGTGGTGGGGTGGAAGTGTGCCGTTGTTCGCTAGAAGGGTGGGGGGAGGTGAGCTGAGGTCTTACAATAGGGTGGGGCGATCGCCTTTTCAAGTGCATCTGAACCCAGGGAGCGGTCTGATTCTGAGGAAGTGAGAAAAACTTATCCTAGCGACTCTCAGAAACGCTTTGCTTTCCAGCAGAAAAATGTTTGCTTATCTGAAGGCAGCAATTCCTGTTTCTAACTTGAGAACACCTCTGGACTACTTACTCTGGCTCCTAGCCAAGACTGTGTATTTAGGCTAGAGACTGAGGGCCTTGATCAAGAAATCTGAGGCTTGGATGTGTTGTAGAACCAACCATTTCTTGTAAAAGGTCATGAAGGTCACCAACGCTTTAAGGGGGTGAAAGAGACAGCACCTTCTATTTCTTAGAGCATTTAGTTTGATCTCACTCCCTCAAATGGCAGCATCACAGGCCCTCCGCGCCGCCCCCCCCCCCCCATCAAACACTTATTACAGGTCTGGAAAGGAGCTGAAGATCCTAAACTGTCCGGTGCAGGTTTCAAACAATAATTTAGTTGATGCTCTCTAAAGGAATGTTACTAGGAGCTATGAACATGTGAGATGACATGGTCCTCCAGGCACCAAAAAGTCTCTTATGCGAAGCACAGCTGTATCCCATTGCACTTTGCTGTAGCTTTTTGCGGGGAGGAAGGGTATACTTTTATAAGTGAGTTTCGGAATTTGATTCACTTTGGTTAGCTGAGCTGTTCTTGGTAGATACATTAGGAATCCCGAGGCCCACAGCTTGGATCTTAGTTGCCAAGATTCCTTCCCCCCACAGGGTATTAAGAATTAATGACCAGCACTCATTTCCCTAGGTGAGGAGTAACTACAAGGAACCTGACAATTTTTCCTTCAGCGCTCTCTTGCCTACCTCAGAACCCGAACACAACCCAAAACTGCCATCTCCCTGGAGGAAGACAGGTTCTACCCGGGAACTGGGTCCCACTTTCAGAGGATCTTCTGGGTCGTGGTCGCCGACCTCTCTGCCTCTGTCCCTCCACCCCAACAACCCGCACCCCCCCCGCCCCGCCCCGCGCCTCCCCCCTCCCCCCCCGCCCCAGTTCTCTGCACCCGTTTATCCCTTCAAGCTGCTAAAAGCTCACCCCCGCAGGGCATCCTCCCGGGCCTGGCATCCTACTGTCAGGCCTTCCCTCCCACTTGGCGTGTCGCCTTTTCCACTTTCTAGTGTGGCTGCAAAGGCATGGCCCTCCACAGCGGCAAGGTGGCCTGCTAGGAGCCCAGTCCCGGAAAACCATGTAAAAATCGTTATCAGGACGTAATGTTTGAGTTATTCCATGTCCTCACAAGTCAGACAGCGACGGAGTGGGGGCGGGTAGTGACGTGGCTCAGGTCCAGCAGACCTAGTAGTGCTCCCTAGGAAAGGGTGCCCGTAAAATCATGTGACTTTCATGCACCTCCAGTG